AAAAAGGGGGGGGGGGGGGGTGGGGGGTTGCACGAATACATGCCAATGTGTGATCACGTGTCCACTTTAAAAAAAAAAAATATTTGTGATGTTGCAGAAATGGGGAAACTAGATTCATCCAATAGGGCAACTTTTATAAAGTATCTTTAAAGACAGAAGTGTTATCCTTGATTTACCACAACGGCTCCGTAAAACACGAAAGATTCATAAAAATGTACTTTTTTTATCTCATAAAATTTGTTAAATTGTTGTTGTATGCCAATAAAAAGATGGTAATTTACTATTAAAATACTTTTTATAAAGAATTAACATAAGTTTACACGGGAAAATAAGAGATTCAAACAGAAATAATATTCGCACCTGAACTGCACTTTTACCTATTAATATGTATAAGTATAAGTTAGTATGTCATGTATAATAATGAATAATGGCCAGTATGACGTCAAGGTAGCCTATAGTATCAAGTTGCTTTCGATAATGACGATATCAATGTTATAATTAGCGACTGAGTGAGGTAGTTTTACCTTTCAGCTTTCCCAGTGTTTGTTTATGACTAGTAACTAGTAACTGTCTGAATTTAGTTAAAGTGTGGATTACTTTCTACTTCTTATAAGTATAATTACTGTTATTGCTAATTTAAATATTAATAGCCTTGGAATCTAATTACAATTAGTTACAATTAATTCATAAAAAGTGGATACATTTGTGTTCTTATATTTCAAATAATAATACCCATGTCTACTGGTTTTACGTTTAATAAAAAGTAGGTTTCAAATGTAATTTTTAATTGTTTTACTATTCCCATCGCCTTAGTTTTATTTTTGTATTAATCAAAGTAGTAGTTATTGATACTTGTAAACATAACGAAGACTAAAACCAAGGACGGACATAGAACAGTTAAGTTGTAACTTCTAAATCATGGCCACGGCGGCAAAGAAAATGATTCCAGAAGATTTCTTAAAAAATGTTCTCCAAAATGGAGTTGGACGCTATGTTTGTCAACTACAACGAATAACTTTCCGATTTTGCAAGTCACATGGGGGAAGCAGGCACATGAGGCGAGTGTTAAAAATGATTATCATTTTCATTTATGATTATGATTCATCATAGTAAATCATATTATCATTACTTACTAACAAGACAGTAACAACCATTTTATTTAGTTTTAGTTAGTAGGCTGCAGCTATTAAATTACTATATAATAAATATACTATACTATTCATTGGATTGGTAATTTGATACTCCATTATTACCGGTAGCTTGTAGTGTAGTAAGTTGTAGGCAGCTATTGAAAATATAAAAAAAACCAATAATTAGTGATAGAAAAGATGATTTAAAATGATGTAAATTATTGTAAATGTATTCAATAGGATGATTGTCGTCACTGTATTGCAGTCCTCAGAACGGCGGTCCCAAATTAAAAATATAATACTTTAACTTTCATTAGAAAGTGTCCGGCTACCAGCCTAAAAGCCGCCGATTAATTGGCAATTGGTGACATAATTTTGTTTACTTCAAATTTTGTTTGCAGACTAATTAACTGATTATTACTTGTAAAAATATAAATAAACAATACTATGTCCGGCAGACCGCAAGCGATGGTTCATATTTCAATTTGTCAGGAAAAAGTCTACAAATTCATGACTCAACGCTGAAGGCATTGTATGCTTTGGTTAGTGTGGCTTGCTGAACACCGTCTAACATAAAACAGCAATTCAACAGAGATAATTGTTGTTTCTGTCTTGCATTTTTCTTTCTTTTTCTTCTTTTTTTTCTTTTATACAATTTTTTTATTTCAGGAGATGATGATGATGATGAAGAACCTGATGAGGATCGCAAGCTTAAAAAAATTAATAAATTTAATTTTGAATTCACCAATTACCGGACACTTTCTAACGAAAAGTAGTGTAATTTTAATTTGGGACCATCATTCTCAGGAGTGCTGGTATGAGTATATTGCCAAAAAACGTGTGTTGACGTTTCCCTTCCCCCCAGTATCATACAGCTATCTATATTAGGTCTATATTATAAATAATAATTGTATAGCAGTATAGCCAAATCTGAGCATGAGGAAGGCTACAGCAGACAGCGCTAAAACCGTACTATAGAATTTATATGTAGTGCAGAGGTGTTGTCTCTTGTACTAAATAGTAATAAATGAACCGGGCAATACTTCGCCAGCATCATTGAAAGCGGGTTTTTAAAGTTCCTATTTTGGTTTGATTTGATTGGCTGGACTACCAATAGCTGCCTAGGAGCTATTGTTAGTAAGCTACCAATAGGCACTTTCTATTAGTATTTATTATGCTTTTTTATTTTTTTACGAGGCTAACTTTCTTCAAACTATTACTAGTAGTTTAAGTTAGTTTGCTGGCATCGGTCCATCACAATGTGTCGATGGTGTAGACTTCGTGGGACAAAATCCACAAGGCCTGGGGTTATTCTTCTAGGATTATAACCTGGTTCCCAAAAGCAAATCACCTCTCTCCACGCCGCTGGATAACCCAAAAGAACATCATGTGGATGATACAGCTTGGCACCAGTGGTGTCGCGGAGTTATTGGAATGTTTTAACTGTATCAATGTTATCCGCCTATGGGACTCCATCTCCAGGCTTGAATTCTGAGTTTCCTTCTCTTAGATGAAGAGCCATCCAATGTTAGTCCCATCCACCTGGGGTGTTGGTGATTTTTTTCGCTTGACTTGGCTTTGGTGGTGATTGAACTCCAGACCATCAACTTAAAATTTGCTCAGTTTAGACCACTCGGCCACTAATAAGTTAATTATTAATATTATTATTATAGTAGCTACTAAGTTGTCTACATACTTGTAGTTGTAGTCATAAGTAGTACCGGTAGTAGAAAATCACCAGGGTCGCCTACCTGTGACTGGGATTCTAGATGTTTGATTTATGTTTATGTAAATCTACATGGCTTTTTACCTTTTTAGTTATTCTAGCTGTTATTTTGGTATATAGGCCTTCTTTCTATTATCTCTGTCCTATTAGTGGATGGGACTCGTTAACCTTGGATGGCAACTCATCTCAGAGAAGACAAACTCTGAAATCAAACCAGGAGACAGAGTCTCTCAGGTGGTATGACATTGATACCATGAAAATTCTGACAACTCCTGCAACATAGAATGCATAAAGAGTACTGTGAGACACAAGTCATTTGGTCATCTACTACATCCTGGTCTACTTCCAGTCGTCTTGACCTATTCATGCCCTTGGAATAAATAGGCAAGGACGGGAGAGTGAAGCTGACAATTTGAGCAACTGTATCTCACTTAAACGACATATGGTTCAAGTCATGGCTACTACTCATGTTGAAGCATTAATCATCTTAGCAAATGAAGGACAAGCAATATTAGTAATCAATCAATCACTTACTATGTCTCTAAAGTCTAATCTAACCACTTTCGCTAGAATCAGATTCAAATACAGCACATGCTACACAAGACAGTATTTTTGACCCTCTTTTAAAATTTGTGTACAGTTACGGACTCGGACATATTGATCAAAATCAGATCAGTTCAATCCCATTATACTTTATAGGCCTATTTGATAGCCTACATTATTTTTGTGTATATTCAATATACCGGTAATCATAAAGTGATGAATTATAAAAAAAAATAATTATATATAGGCCCTTCAGTTTCGGCCAACTGAATTTTTTTTTTTTTTGGTTGAAAGTAGGGCAGCAAAAGTCTTGGCTAACCCAAGACAACCCTAGCCCTAGCTACCCCACTGATTATACAATAATTTTTTTTTAAATTAAATATCAATGATTTTTTTAAAAAAAATGATTGGTGAATAATTACTAGCTGTCGCTCAATACCAGCCAAACAAACCAGAAATCTTTCCTTGATGTCATGATCAAGTCCTGAAAACCTTATCATTCACTCCAATGAATAATTACAGTGGGGAAGTGGTTAAATAAAAACTGCTTTCTTTTGTGTTCATCTCCACATTTTAGTCGCAACTTGTTGTGATTGTAGTTTTATTCATCTTTTTTTCCAGAGATTTTATTGAGAATCACATGTTAGATTTCTCACAGAAACATCCAGGAGTGGTTGTTTACCTGCAGCCCAGAAGGAATAGACCACCTTCTATTGTTGCAGAATACTGTATGTTTTCACTATATTTATAAATTATGTAAATGGGAGGGATTATAAAAAATTCAAAGCTTTTTAATTGGGATTTTCTCTTATAAATGTTCCCTAAAGGGAATTGCATTTTTTTTTTTAAATACCTACAAAAAAAAATACTTGGATAAATATTAATTAATAATAATAGTGTTTCAAATTGTGATAATTATTATATATGCCCTGTTCATTTAGTATGAAAGATCTCTTAAATTTTGGCTATTATGAATTTGAAATTCAAAACATAAGTTAGTTTTCAACTCTCTTACACAGTGCTCTATTTAATATGAGCCAAACTCTTTAAATAATACATCTTTAGCATTTCGTTTCTTTGATTTTGTAAAGATGGCTCAGACACTGCTTTTTGTTATCAGTCATATAATTACAAATGATTTAAATATATTTTATTGATAAAATGTAAAAAATGCTGTTATTATTCGATTCTTAATTTTTCTTAATATTTATTCATTGCATTTAAGAAATGAATACTTTACTTTTTTCACCTTAGTAATAGTAATAGTCTATTGTTAAAAATCAGCCATTTATCAATACAAGTGGTTCTTAATGGGTGTGTCACCGTGAAGTTGTATACTGCGAGATTAGCTAAGTGTGCCACAAAGCTTTTGAGACTTTCTGATATTGTTACATTGTTAGTAAAAGTAAAAAGTAATCAAAATAATTTCACTAAAGATTTCAAATTTTAAAAAAAAAATAGAGAATAACATACAAGAACTTAAACTTATCTCACATGGTATTTATTGGCTTACAATATCTCATCTAACACGCACAAAACTAAAATAAAAAAATAACCCCAAAATATTCCAGAACACTGACTATAAATGACCTCACAGCAGCAAGCTAATAAAAAATGACTGGTGCATGCAAGCTGTGTGTTCTCAAGACTGAGGCTATATGTTGATCCCCTCCTGCATTGTTGCCAACTCAGACCTTGTGTGCCGCAGGAGCTCACTACATAGGATATTTTGTCATGAACAATACAGTGTTGAGAATCACTGATCTATATGATTTAAAATTTGTTCGTTTTTATAAATGGGGCCGTCCATAAAGTACGTCATGCTATTTTTTACCATTTTTAACCCTCCCTCGTCACAAACTGTCACAAATCTCCGCACAGAACCCCCCCCCCCCCCCAAAGTACGTCACACTTTCAAACAATTTTTTAAAAAAATTAACACCTAATTAAAATTTAATCTAAAACACACTTCACTATTAAACTGTATTAAAATATAAAATTTCAACTTAATTTCCACTATCACATTATTATAATGACTTTAATAGTTGAATAGTTAATTGTCAACAGTTGTCACAGTTATGCATTGAAGCAGTAACTCAATCTAGATTGAATTTGAAAACAAAAATTGCAAAAATTAGTCAAGACAATTATATAATACACATCATTTATCTGCTGCTTTTTCATTTACAATAGGTGAGGTCAAGTTTTAGATAATCTTCCGATAATGCAATCTTTTTACACAGGTTAAGAAGTATATTAGAGAAACTTGACCTCACCAAATGATTAAATTATAAAAAGGACAGTGACATAATTATGCAGAGGACAACATAGAAATAATAATACTTCAGGAAAAACGAAAGCAATACATAAAACAAGGCTTCGCATCAGCATACTAGCGCTCCTAGCGAGAGGAATCGTGAACAACACATTCAGGAGATACGCATTTCATGCTATTTTGACATAAAACTAATTCAAATGATACACAAAATTTTAGAAAATTATTTTTAAAGCTATTAAATTCCACTAAAAAAAATAAAAAATAAATTAGAAATTAAAAAAAAATTTAATTAATGTGTGACGTCACACATGGCCTGACTCCCCCCCTCCCCCGTCACTAACTGTCACACTTTCTTACACCCCCTCCCCCCTCCGGAGTGTGACGTACTTTATGGACGGCCCCAAAGCAGTTTCAACTCAAGATCAGATATATTTTTTTAATTAGCATGATATTTTAATTAATGTTATATTTAATGTTTATTCTTTCTAAAAGTGAATGGAGGCAGAGAAGTACTTCTAATGTCAGGAAAAGAGCCAGGAGAAATATGTAAATGGACTGAACATTTGCGGACAAGATCAGGGATTCAAATTGTTAAAATGATCAATAACATTCACACAGAGACTCCAAGCACTCAGGGCATATGGCATCCATTTATGTTTAGAGATACTGAATGGGCAGTTACTAAATTCCCAAGCAAAAAGGCTTCTGAGGTGTTGAAAATAGGGCTAACTGCTACAGATCTTGTCCTGGAGGAACAACAAGGGGAGCCTCTTATTGACAGCATGAATACGTGTAAAATAGATGATAAATGAGTTATAATTATTTGAATTAAATGGGATTTTCTATAATCAAATTGTTATTTTTTTTAATTGCTTTGTGAGAAAGGATTGCTTATTTTTTTGTTTATCTTCATTTCTTGGTCCCCAAATTTAAATATGCTCTGTTGGTTATAAGTCAAATGGTAATTATTATAAACGAGGTCAGATGTTAAAAATAAGTCGGGTGAAAAATATTTTTAGTTTGCAAAATTGTGTCTTTCTCATATTATTTTTACCACAGTGATAATTCATGGGCATGGTACCAAGTCCAGTTACGACAAAGAAGTACTAGAAAGGACTCCGCTAAATAATATAAATCATTAAATATTTAAAAGGGAAAAAAGTGGTACCGGGGTACTTAGCTTTGAATTTTTGATATTTTCTTAATAAAATAATTTCAGACTATTTGGTTAAGCTCTTGACATCACTTTCAAATCTCAGTTTAGTTTTCATGTACCTTTTATAGAAATTATGGAATGTTCCAGCTTCTTAAGTTACAAGGCCTTTATCAACCATCCACACACAAAAAAGGAGAAATGTAAAAGTGAGACTGAATATTTACCTAAGAGGGTTTGACCCAGACAAATTTGGACACCTGTCTGATCTAATTACCATTGCACCACAGGGCCAAGTATGACTCCTCTAATAGCAACACCCCACTGGCTAACGACCCTGTTAGATGTGCACCTACTTACCACTTGGAGTCTAAATGCCACTGCACCTATATATTTAATTAGCATTTGATATTGTCATTCAATTTTGGATAACTGATAAAATCTTTAACTGGCTTAAGATTTTGTGGCACGGTACCTTATGTAATTTGTATTACACTTGGAAAATACTGATTTACTACTGTTTATAGAAAAGCAATCTATGTATCAACATTCTTACAATGGACATGTAAGAACCAACAGGCTAAAAATAAAAACATTTAGGAAGCATGCCCTCCTCCACCTCCCCAATTATATATTTTTTTAAATTTTTGATGGTACAGCTGTTCAGTCTAACGAAATAATTATGTCACAAATAATGTCATGCGCACATGGACTTTATTAGTATGTATTAGGTATGCTAACTAAGCTTAATACTGTTGCGCTTTATAGTGAATTATTTGTAAAAACACAGAACAACATTATGATGATAATTCCAAAACATTGTGATGATATTCTTATTGCCTTTTTGAAAATAATTAGAAATCATGGATTTCACATTTTTAGGAGCCAGATGGATTTATTAGAGACTTACAAGTTCAGGATAATTATTGCCAGAATTTATATAAAATACTTATTTTCTTAACCACACACAATATGCACCCATGTGCAGAGGCGTCACTATGGTTAGTGTCATCCGGTGCAGTTAACTCACTGTGGCACGCCGCGCCCCCACCTTAATTCTGGAATACAACAACCTAACCCCCCCCCCCCCCCCCCCCCCCCCCACGACCTGCTCTGAGTAATTCTTAACCTGATCATATCATACAGAATCACTTAGTTCTTTTTGTAAATTAGGAAAGTCCTACAGCAACAAAAGACATAAGAAGAAAGGATAGAATTTGATGTACTGGGTAACAATGTTTTAAAAATGAAATAAAATTACTTTTTTTTAACACTGAACTTTACAGTTATACTTAAACCTTCACTTTCCTGTTCTTTAAAGATGTGAACATGTCAAAAACGTCATCAAAATAAAAAATCTTCAACTTATCACTTTCATTTTTTTTTTTAAATCGCAAGACCAGAGAGCATGTTATGATTGCAACCCACTCTGATGGTAATCTTGCTGTCTGGTGACACCCTGTTCTGTTATGGTGGCACCCTGCTCGGGTGAAACGCGGTTCACATGACTCCATGCTCTGGTAGCTCTTTATTATGGTAACACCCTGTTATTGTATTTATTGAGTTCTGTTATGAAACCGACGCCAGTGAACTCTGTCCAATTTGCATTTTCGATTGGGTGTAGTGCCATATATGATGACATCACGCAAATTTTGCCAATTTTTCACCCCCTTTTCCCATTGTCACAAAAAATAACTTAAATATAATGTCACAAATCTCAATCAAAACGAATCATCATCCTAATCAAACTGTAAATAGCTGCATTAGCTTGAAAAATCTCCCCCCCCCCCTAAAAAAAAACCTCTGTCCATGACCGTCCTCTACACACCCTTAGCAAATTCACATCTAATTACTATAGATAACAAATTACTATAGATAACAAATTGCTGCACCTGTGTCAGAAACCCTAGTACAATGGTTCTTAACCAGAGGTGAAAGCACTCCCTAGATGCGTGAAAACCCCAGAAATGTGTATTTGCTGCCATTGCTAGTTGATGCCTTTAACTTTAAAGAAAACCCAAAAAAAAAAAATGTTTATTCATTTTGATTAGCAGCAGTAAATGTTTTCTGGGGATTTTTTTTTTTTTTTTTGCATTACCGATTTTTTTTTTTTTTTTTTTTAAATTTTTTTTAAAAAAACAAAAAAAAAAATGTTTTTTTATTTTGTTTAGCCGCAGTAAATGTTTTTTGGGGTTTTTTTTTTTTTTTTTTAGCATTACCGATTCTTGTATTTTTTATTTTTAAATTTTATTACAATACTAGCCAATATATCCGGCGTTGCACGGGATTGCATAAGAACGCCATTCATGTGTGACCTTGATCCCATTGGAACCCTTGTCCCATTCTGACACCGATCCCGGCGCATTCCCGTTTCCCGGTTTTATCCTGATCCCGGTGGATCCATTCAAGGTTGGGATCCCGATCCAGGTGGGATCCCGTTTTCTGGTGGGATCCTGATCCCTTTGGGATAAATATTATGATGGTATCCCGACTCCTTTGGGATCCTGTATAAAAAAAATTACTCAGTGTTACTGAGAGAATAGTAAACTCCTGTACAGTATAGAAATTAATAGAACTAACTAAAATTTCATTATTCCTTAAATCCCACTATATATTCCCGTGGAACAATTTAGAACTTTCTGGAACATTCTAGATTAAATTTAATAACCTGCTCGAAACATGTGTAAAACTACTTTTCTGATTATTTTTGGAATATGATGAAAATCTTCAACAAATATAATTATAATGCTTTTTCTTTTAAGTTAATCTTTGGGCCCCGGGGGGGGGGGGGGCATTCCATAACAGTACCGATTTAGCTTTGTCTGAGATAGAGGGCCCTATAAATATCAGACGGATAAATAATATAATTAAAATTTGTCCCATTAAAATCTACCTAAAAATTCCATAGATATAGCTTTTTAAAATTATCGAACGTTCTGGAAAATTCTAGATTTGATATTATTAGTTTTATATCCACCGATATTTCTATACAGACTAAGAAGCGTAATGATCAAAGCTAGGTGTAGATTCATTAATTCACATAGAACCAATACCGTCGTCTAACCCTACTGATATTCATATAGCTAATGTAAGGAAAAATTAACTGGGGCCCCAGGCCCCAGAGAAATGTATATTATGAGTTCAGTACCCTTCGGTATTTAAATGTGGATAATAGTAATAGAGTTTATGTGTTCTAAGTTTGTTCAAGATCCATCCATTCGTGTAAGAGTATTTGTTTCTAATTATTTTTATATACCGGTAGCTCATTTAGGAAAAAACTACATTTAAGGCCCCCGGCCCCAAACGGAATGTAATAAAAAGTTCATAACCCCTTAAGAGTTCCTTCTGGATCGTGATGGATATATGTGCCAAATTCGGTCAAGATCCATCAAACCATGTAAAAACGTATGTGGAAAAAATCCAGCCACAAACAAAATTGTACCTTTATATAATTATAATTTATATATGATTCGATAATGTGTAAAATTGAGTGGGACTGCAGCGCTGCTAAGAATCTCAGTCCTAGAGCATTTACTAAGATCCAAACAACCCACCTCCGTTCAATCATTTTTCGTTCCATCCCACTTCACGTAGACGTAGTAAAATTCTATTACTCCCGTTCAAATTTCAACAAAAATTCTCACCAACTGTCAACGTCACAACACCCTGATTCTTCTCTTCCGGATGGCCTGAAACTTGATCAGAGGCCATTTTTCGGACCGCGTATTCCTGTACTGATTCTCTCAGTGATCGTAGTTAAAAAAAAATAATAATTATAATGTTTGTATCAAAGAATAATGTTATGTATAGTATTATGTCTGTAATTTAAAGTTATTAAGTGCATTTTGTTACTACGTATAATGTTCTGCTATTTATTTGTTTAAACCCCACTCCCAATCTTCACTAAAATGTGACCCCCCCCCCCATGAGCGACGTCATTTATGGATGGTTTCGTCACCCCACCCACCCACCCCGACCCCCGTGAGGGTGTCACCTTGTGCTGTTCCTGCACCCGCTAGTGACGCCACTGCCGGTACGCAAAATCGCCAAAATCAATAACTTTGAATAACCCACCTCCGCAGTCTCTCTTCCCCGTAATATATGGATGGACCCCTAATAGGCCTAGGCCTAATTCTAAAAAAAGCTTTTTTTTTCCCTTCTTACAAATAAAAACGTTTACCTTTTATTAGCCTGCTATTATTTAATTATCTTGGCCTTGGGAAGAACTTAATCGGTTTAATTATTGTAAACTAAAATTAAATGTCGCAAATGCGACTTCTTCTTACTTCTTGGATTTGTGGAATAGTGAAACTAAGGGAACCGCAAATGTGCTGTTGTTTTTATTCCAAACTTTTTACGCTTGCTTAAAGGAAGATTTTAAGGAAAACCTGAGCATTATTTTTATACTTGATTTTTTTCTAAATATTAAGACTCTGGTTCCTATTTAAACGTAAGCTACTTACCAATAGCCTTTGATAGACTTGTTTCCCTTTAAAGATGAAAAATGGAAGCCTCCTTGTTGAGACTTATCTGTTCCAAAATCTCTTCAAGGACACGATTTTTTAATTTGACATTATGCAATGGTAGGATACCGAATATTCTTTATATAAAATACATGGGTTTAGGGAACGTGTTTAGTTAAGGGCTCTTCAATACACAGACTGACTGGCATGCCCGAATCATTTACCTGTTCACTGTTCTTTGTTTTTTTGTTTTTTTTTAAATAAAATAATCTCAGACTCTCACTCTCCTCAGAGGAGCCTAATCTACTACTACTACTACTACTACTACTAACTTCTACTACTACTAACCCCCTGGTGCAAGTGTAGCGCCCAGTAGATGCTTTAGTAAAAAAAAAAGTAATTTCAAAAATAAAAGTATCAGTTCAGTATTACTGAGTAAACTTTAAAATATGAAGGCAAAGCCAACTTTCGGGTAAAAGTGCAGTTCAGGTGCATATATTATTTCTTAACGCATTTCGTATTTTAAAATTTTTTTATAATGTAAACTTACGTGTATTCTTTAATAATTAAATACAGGCAGTTATAGTTAACTAATTCTGAATTATAAGTGGCATCTTTTCTTTTTATTTTACTTCTAAAGAGTCTTTAACCATCCCCCAACCAAAGTGACATAGCCCCATTTGTTTGTATTTTTCTATGCCAGATTTTTAGCCACCTATAAGTTAGTATGCTAAACGAAATTTTCAAACTGTAAGCAAAAAAGAATGAAATACTAGATTTTTCATTACGCGCAAGCCCCCCCCCCCCTTCTCTTTTTTCCTCTCAGAGCGCTCGGAATATAGGGGTTGTCCTTTGAAGTCGGGTCGGGGAGGGGGGGGGGATATTAGAAGTGGATCACTGTCTAAGGCAGTGGACACACACGTCATCATTGTCCTGGGCCTGCGGGGAAGCGGAAAAAAGAAAATGGGGGGGGGGGGATATTAGAAGTGGATCACTGTCTAAGGCAGTGGACACACACGTCATCATTGTCCTGGGCCTGGAGGGAAGCTGAAAAAAGAAAAGGGGGGGGGGGGTGCACGAATTCGTGCCAATGTGTGATCATGTGTCCACTTTAAAAAATATATATATTTGTGACGTTGCACAAATGGGGGAAATCGGAATGATAGCGTGGGGTCATTTTGATAGTCATCTCATTCTGAAGGCTGCTAATACGGTGTCCGTGATTGGTCATCTCTAATTTGAGTACCCCTCCTCTTTTTTCGTATGCAAATGCGCTTATTAATAGTGACTGATTTGCGCTGAGTAAAGTGAGGGTGAGGGCTAGTGATTAGTAATAAGACGGACTCGTTTTGCGGTATTGCTGGTAGTGGAATCATTTTGTTAAAAATGGCAGGACGACCAAGAATGTTTATCCAACGGAAATTTTTAGCATTTGGTTTATACGCGCACTTTGTGAGACAACAAATAACGTTAATACAACTATGGAATTTCTCGTAAGGCACTCGTAACCATTGCTATGTGGCTTGTAAACTGGCTACATATGTCAAGTATGTGAGTTCCTTATAATTACCGGGATCTGGATCTCACCAGAAACGGGAACTCACCGTAACCAGTATCCCACCGGGATCGGAAACCCACTGGATCAGGATCCCACCGGCATCAGGATCTCACTGGGATCAAGATCCTATCGGGATCGGAATCTCACCGGGATCGGGATCTCACCGGAAATGGGATCCCACCGGATTGGGATCTCATTTAGTTTGGGATACCACCGAAAACGGGATTTCACCGGGATCGGAATCCCACCATGACCAGGATTCTACCAGAATCTGGATCCCATCGGGATCGGGATCCCATCATGATCCTTCTGGGTGCCATCGGAAAACGGGGAAAACGAAATGTTTACATAAGTTATTTGTTATTTAATTTTAAGTGGTTTTATATGAGACAAATTAATTAATTTTTTGTAAACTGGCTACATATGTCAAGTATGTGAGTTCCTTATAATTACCGGGATCTGGATCTCACCAGAAACGGGAACTCACCGTAACCGGTATCCCACCGGGATCGGAAACCCACTGGATCGGGATCCCACCGGCATCAGGATCTCACTGGGATCAAGATCCTATCGGGATCGGAATCTCACTGGGATCGGGATCTCACCGGAAATGGCATCCCACCGGTTTGGGATCTCATTTAGTTTGGGATACCACAGAAAACGGGATTTCACCGGGATCGGTATCTTACCGGGATCGGAATCCCACCATGACCAGGATTCTACCAGAATCTGGATCCCATCGGGATCCCATCATGATCCTCCTGGGTGCCATCGGAAAACGGGGAAAACGAAATGTCTACATAAGTTATTTGTTATTTAATTTTAAGTGGTTTTATATGAGACAAATTAATTAATTTTTTTTATACCTAGAGTGGTGTTGTTATGTTGTTGATATTTCGCTTAATAGCAATGTGAATTAAAAGGACGTAGCAGATGTTCGTTTTTTTCTGAATGCAATCCCGAGCAAATCCGGTTTTATTTGAAGGTAAAGTATAAAATAAATACATTTATTTTAACCAAGATTTATCCAAATAGGCAACTTTTATAACGAATCTTTAAAGACAGAAGAGTTATCCATGATTTACCACAATGGCTCCGTAAAAGACGAAAGATTCAAGAAAATGTACTTTTTTTTATCTCGTAAAATTTGTTAAATTGTTGTTGTATTCCAATAAAAATATGATATTTTACTTTTAAAATACTTTTTATAAACAATACACATAAGTTTACATGATAAAATACGAAATACGCTAAGAAATAAAATACGCACCTGAACTGCACTTTTACCAACTTTCGTTAGTGCAAAAACCCAGAGGGGAAAGAGAGAATGTGCTGTTTTAGCTACTTACAGAGTAAAGAGGGAAACGAAAATAGGAACAAAACTTTAAAATTTAATGGCATCCTTTCTTTGCAATAACGACACCCCCCCCCCCCTGCTTATCTCCTAGCATAATTTCAGCTAGTAGTAGTAGCCTACTTATTAACTTATTCGAAGTGTCTACATGTCCGGCGCGCTGGACAAATAGTGTGTGTGATATACGCCCGGCAGGCATGTCGTCGTTATTATTCCGAGCGAAGCAACTATTTGGAAGATCTTGTGTGGTCTTGTGGTAGAGTGGTTGCTTGACGATATAATAGTTGTGGATCAATGCCCAGTAAGGGATCGTTCTTTCCCTCCCCCCCCCATTTTAATGTAAAATATTTACATTATATTTATATTATCATGTTTATCAGCAACAGTAGTTTCATGAGTAGTTTTTAAATATTTTGTAGTAATATAAAAAATTTAAAATGAAATCTTTTACTTTTATTGGTTGCCTACTCCATACTAATACTGACAACTGGCCCCTAATTTATTTTATGGATTACTGGTACACAAACTCAAATAACAAAATAAACAAAAATGTGTAGACACTGCCTAACTTATTATATGGGGCAAGAATATTGCTCTCTTCCCTCCAATTCACTAATTGTAATGAAACACATGTCAGACAAATGTAATAATGAAGAAAAACAATACAAAATATTTTAAATACTGAAAAATCACACTTTTACACACTTTATTGCAGGTCTGCCATCATAGCTACAAAGGTGGTGGGCATGGGAAAAAGAAGTGCAAAAACACTGGCATAAATTTACCAAAATTTCACATTTAAAAAAATTAATTTTAACAATTTTATGCACTTATACTATAAACTATAGGCCTACCTACATAAATTTTATTCTACCGAGCTATGTACTATGTATTATCAGTGTATTTAATATGTATATGATATGGCTATTTTATTTTTCTCTATTTAACTCTTAGTCACGCTCATTATGCTTGTATAATTTTTATTAATATATATTTCAACTTTGGCACATGCCTAATTAATTAAAGCTTTCCCTGATCAATGGTTTAATAGTAATTGCACAATTTAAACTATTTTGAAAGAAACTCTGAGAATAATAATGATACTATATTATAATGTTACAGTAATCATGCAAGTTTCTGTGATTGGTTGTTGCCCATGACGAGTGCACACAGCAAATTATGTTAATTTTAAATATGGACTATGCAGTGTTTTTAAACATCAAATTAAAATATTCTTGTTACATGCCTTCTCATTTCCTTTAAAAAAACACATACAAAATAACAGTTTTATATTTTATAAGTAAAGGTTATTTCCGCCATTGAAAAACTGGGTGTTGTCTAAATTAGACTAAGCCACCTTACAATGATGTATTATGCAAGTGGAACACAACCGACCTCAATGAGAATTTGAACAAAATATACACCAATATATGCTGCTCTCCCAGATTTAACCCCTCTAGTATTGCCCTACTTGTTTGCTATCACTACCAACTATTACTTTGTTAATTATTCCCTGTGGCCCAGACATTATTTTGGAATGAGCCACAATTTGATAGGTTTGCAAATTATTTTGTAACTTTTTTTGTTTTAAACAATCGATCATAACATTTAGAGAATTATCTGTTCAGCAATGGATAAGGGTGTTAAAAATACTGTGCTTTGTTTACACTTTTCATTGGCAATGGCACAATAGAGGATTATTAGAAGTTTTCTTCTTCTATATCTTAAGGGCCCACGATCAATTTATTGATCATTTTGGCTCCTATGCATGTAGATGGGATTTGCAATGTTTCTTTTACTGGTGGTGATGAGGAAATTATGCACTAGGGGTTTGAAGGCTTGAGGCAATAGACACAAATGTGTCTAGTGTTGTCGCCTCAACTGTTCCTTTTGAAAGATGGTTCCAGTCCCTGATTGTCTTGGGCAGGAATGAGCAGCTCCTATACTGGCTTCTTGCTGGTATGAGCCTGAATTGCCTGTCATGGCCTCGTCGCTGTCTATGGGGGAGAGGGACGAGTTTCTGTTTAATACTGGAACAGTGGACCAGCCCATTATTTATCTTGTACATCATGGAGAGCCTGGATTGTCGTCGTCGTTTCTCCAATGGTGACCAGCCTAGTGTTTCTAGCATGCTGCCAACACTAGAGGTATTCCTGTAGCGGTTTAGGACAAAGCGTGCTGCTCGTCGCTGGACCGCCTCCAACCTGTCAATGCTCTTCTGGGTAAATGGGTCCCAGACTGAAGATGCATAATCTAAAATCGGACGGATAAAGGCTTTATATGCTCTTTCTTTCACACAGGAGTTGCCAATCTTTAGATTTCGCCTTAAGAACCCCAAGGCTTGGTTTGCTTGGTTACATACATTGTTAATATGCTCGTCCCAGCGGACCTCTCTTTGAATGGTAACACCCAGGTACTTTACGGAGGAAACTTGCTCAAGTATATGGCCGTGCAGTTCGTATTGGTAGTGTAGAGATTGATAGTGTCTGGCACTTGGCAGGGTGAAATTCCATGTCCCAGCTCATCTCCCACTCAGCTAACAGATTGAGATCCTGTTGTAGCTGGTCCTGGTCAGATCTGTTGGTTTTAGAAGGTATATTTATATTTATATCTCGTCAGTGGCACTACAGCACATGTAGGCCTCTAGCCCTCTCCATCACATTCTTCCATTTAGATTGATCCATGGCTTTCCGCTTCCATGCTTGGACCCCCAGCTGATGTAAGTCCTTCTCTACATCATCAATCCATCTCAGTCTTGGTCAACTGGTGAACCATCTGCCCCTTGGTTTCTGCCTGTAGCAGTTTCTTGGTTTTTGAGTTTGCTTTTGATTTTTTATGTGACATGGTGGTCAGCCCTGAAACAACCATCTGAGGGGATGCCACGTACACATCTCAGGATAACTGCCTTTGTTTTGAGTCTGTGCATATCCTTTTTGGATCTGATTTTGGTCCACTCAGGGCATTTTATTTCACCAGTACCCATCATATCTGGTGGGCTTTCCCCTATCCGCCTCCTGGGGAGTTGTTTAATGAAAGATCGGTATCTCAACACAGATAAATTATTTATATATATGTGTTTGTGTGTGTAAATGTGTGTGTGGGTATATTTATAAATATGTGTTTGTGCATGTGTATATATATATACATTGCCATGTGAATATTAAAATTTCATTAAGCTTTACTTCTTTCTCCAAATAATAATATTCAAAAGTGAGTCTAGTGTATTGAAAAATAGCATAATTCTTTTTTCAAACACTTAAATTTAAATGAAAATCAGTATGTTGATGCATATTTTTTTTCAGAAACAGTTCAACAGATTTCAAGATGTTCAAGTACATTTAACCAGACGCAATCAGAAAAATTCAGAACAGCATTTAGAACAGAAATAAATGACCCTGTAAGTATCTATTTGGATTTAATGTTATTAGAGTAAAATAAATGATAATTTTCTTTGAAATAAACAACCCTGAATAATAAAAAAAAAAAGGAGCACCAAAAATCCAGTGCTCCCTTGAAGACAGTTGAAGTGCATGTTGAAGAGGGGAAAAAAACAACCAAAAACCTCAGAGATGAGGAGGTTAAATAGAACTGGTGCAAATGGATTTAAAATTATATTTTAATATTTAAGGCTTCTCCTTATTTTGTTTGGTATTTATTTTAGCAACAAATATATTTCTTCTCGTAAACAGAGGCATCACACTCTAGACCATGTTGGATTGTACTATCAGATCCCTCAAGAAGAAGTAAATGGAGTTCTCAAAACGACTATTAAGGAATCGGATATGCGTTTGGTAAACTTTCATGATGAGCTGGGGGGGGGGGGGTTTTTTTTTTTATCAACAGCTGTAGTCACTTAATTATATTTTTTTAAGAATGTGTTTGCCTTTAAAGTAATATTTGAAGAGGAAAAAATGAAGAAAGTATATATGCGTTTGGTAAACTTTCATGATGAGCTGGGGGGGGGGGGATTTTTTATTTATCAACAGCTGTAGTCCCTTAATTATATTTCTTTAAGAATGTGTATGCCTATAAAGTAATATTTGAAGAGGAAAAAATGAAGAAAGTATCTGAAAATATGTTAATAACCATTTCTTGTGGTGTGTAAAATTGTAAGTGAAAGTTTACCGGTGTTACTTTGTTTAGAAACTATGTGAGTAGTAAAGTGGTGAAAACTTAAAATCAATTTAAGTTTAAGTGTTTTAAAAGAAATATTTTAATAATTTTTTTTTTTAACAGATGAAGACTTTCAATGAATATTGCCTTATGGTAAGAAAACCTGCTCTAGAGCTAAATGGCTACATCAAGAACTTCAACTTAAATCATCCAGTGCCAAGATTTTTACTTTGTATCCTTTTGTTAAAGCTTGGGATTAAATGAATTCAAAGAGTATTTATGTTTATTAATATCTATAAAATAGTAACAAAATTTATTTAAAAATTATCATTTGCATGAAATTTTCTCTGGATACACACTTTGTCCCTTATCTAAACGCAGATGGACTGAAAGGGGCTGGTAAAACATGCATTATGCAATACACTATGCAACATTTTCACAGAGAGAATTGGATTATTTTGCATGTTCCATGGGGTAAGAAAACCTTATGATTTAGACTTTTTTTTTTTTAAATTTTATTTTCCTTGTGTTTTTTCGCTCAGGCCATATAGCCATTAACATTTGTATGTTCTTTATTTGCTAAAGACTATTTTTTTAATATTGCAAAGGGTAAAACAATGTTTGATACCCAACTTGTGAAATTTTTTGTTATTTTAAAATTTACATTGTTACAACTTACAATACAAAAATAAAGTGCAAAGGTAATCATGGCTTGAAATAAAGTCAGTTCCCCCCACACGCTCTCTTAAAGCCCCTTGCTGTATCACTTGGCAATGATTACTTAAGTAAAGATTATCTGATGTTTGTTTTTTTTTTTGAAGTTTAAGTTATTTAAAACCTTTAAAAAACTCTTTTCAATTTGAAATTTGACTTTGAGCAGTGTAAAAGTTGTGTTTATACTGTTGTTAGAATGGAAAATAAGGTGATTTAAATGCACACCATATGATTTTATGATCCAGAGTATGGTGCTATTAACTTTTTATTAACAATAACCTATATCTCTGCCCCTAGCTGGTCGGTGGGTCCGAGGATGGTACAAAGAAGTATCAGAATCAAGTTATAAGCCAGGAAGATATGATACCCCAACAGATGGTGCAGAATGGCTTGAGCTTTTCAAAACTCAAAATCAAGGAAAACTTAAAAATTTGAAAGTAAGTGAAGGAAAATAGAGGTCCCGATTTATTTGTAACAAGACCACAAATGCTTTTAAGCTTTAACCTTAGCTTGCAAGCTATAATTAGTCTCCAGATATCATCACAGATACTTTAGTTTTGATGAGGGTGTTAAAGCAAGAAAATAAATTTATAAAACATTTAAAGAAGCATGCCATTTTTAAATGATTCTTTTGAACTGTTATGGGATAAAATTAAAATTTCTCAATTGAAGTACACTCAGTAACTATCTTTACATATCCTTATGCTGCTTTAAGCAAACTTTGTGAAAGAACAGAATCTACATGAGTGTTTTGTTGTTCTGGGGTATTTGTTAGAGTTTGTGATCCCTGTTTTAGCTTTTTCAAGAAAATCATTTGATGAATCATATCTTTAAAATTCTGTTTAAAATGCTCTATTTTCAGACAACTTCAGAATATATTTGGACCAAAAGAGAAAAAGCGGAAATTGGGACACCTCTGGAGGAAATAATAAACTTTGTATGTTGAAATTTTTAGCTAATCTTAATAAATTTAATTTCCTCTGCCCGTTGCATTATTTTGCAAGGTATCAGTTCCGAGTATTTGGTGTTGAAATAAGGAAAATCCAAATTCCAGAACCATTACCTGGTGCCTTTGGGATACCTAAAAATATGCACCTAAACTTAAACCAAATACTGCCCCATCAGAACAACCAATATGTCCCATAAAATGAATTTACAACTGCACTGGTGAAACACGCAGAAGTTGGCAGAGTTGCTATCTGTGGCACACATTCTTGCTCAACTTTGACATCAAGACAGTTGTTTAAGTAATTTTGGTTCAAAAAGATTAAAAGAAAGAGCACACCCTATATGCTCATGTGCACTTTTAGCACTTGCATTGATTTTGTTTGATTATTATCCCAGATGGGCATCCATATATTCAATTCCAATGTCTTAAAGGTATCATGTCTAGTTAACTAATCACTTCAAAGTTTAATTATGATAACTTTGCATGTTGTATAAGTAGATAAAAATACTCGGATTAAATTCCAAATCCCACTCAGAATGTTCTTGTTACTGCTTATCATATAATTTTTTGGACGTACAAAAAAAATAGTACCGGGTAAACACTTCCGGTGATCAGTGCACCTATTGACTAAAATGAAGGCCTTCCAAAAATGGAGTATTAAATGAAATTTAAATTATATTTATACTCTTAAAATCATATTTATATTATATATATATCTATATCTCTTCCTCTAGGGACAGACTCGAATTAAGTTCTCTTCTGACTGTGCAGGAGTTATCTTGAAAGAACTGAGGAAACAGGCACCTTTATTAGGGTTTGTATGGTGGTTATATTTAGGCATTTAATAAACTGTTCTGATCTTGCTCTTAACCCTAGAACTGTTATAACGGCAGATGAATATGCGAATGATTTAATGTATATTAGTTAACGAGAAATCACTCTATACAAATGAGTTTGCTTTCTATTGTCAATACAATCTGTGTGTTTAGGAGCTTTTGTCAGGGATATAAATCAGGTGCGAAATTTTCTAAAATGTGTTGACTGCCATAAGTTCTGATGCGGGAGAGGCCCCTCCCCCCCCCCTGGATTGCAAAATCAACACAGAATTTCTGTATTGAAATAATTTTATATGGATTAAAATGAAAGCAATAATTTCAGAAATATTCCACATACTAGTAACGATAGTATTAGCTCTAGCAGTGATTGCGACAAAAGAGTCAGATATTGACAATTTTAGTCCTAAGCTTAGTCGAATTGTTACAGACAAATTCATTTGGGAAAGGGTGGAAATCAAACAGAAAAGACAAAGATTGGATCCTAAAACCAACCCTAAAGAGATTCAAAGACATTTATGTTTGTGTATATTTTGGAGTATTAATTAATTCAAAAATGGATTTAATATCTTCAATTAAAAAGGAATTTTTGAACTCAATTCATGCTTTCTCAGTTATATTTTGTATGAAAGAAATTTGAAATAGTGAATGAAAAAAATTTACCAATAATACAATTTTCAATATAAGGACAATTTCTGATAGAATATTGCATCTAGTATCTCAAAAACAGGATTTTATAATAGTTTGAAAAATTTTATGGAGTATTAGGTTGGGTTAAATGAAGAAGTTGAGTGGTAAAATTTTACTAACCCTGTAAAGGTCAATATCAACATGCATAATATAAAAACAAATTCTTTTCAAACCATAAGACACCTTATCCAACGTACTTTCATAAAATGTATACTAGTAGGGGTTTCTGAATTCATTTAGTATGAAATTTTCTCATATTTGACAAGCATAGGACAATGCTAAAAATGGCTTAACGATACAGAAAAAGTGCACTTGGCCCAGTTATAGGGTTAAAATTCAATAACTAAATTAATAGTTAAATTTTAAAGAAAATTTTAAAATACATTTTCAATTTAGTATTTACAAGGACAACATGAGCAAAAGCTACCTAAAATGTACCATATAAATAACATAAAGACATTTAAAGAAAATGTAACTGCTTTTAATTAAAGATAGATTTTGAAACAACCACATTCATTCTTTCTACAGGTTGAAGGTTCTAGTGGCAGTTGGGGCCGTCAATGCTTTCTATGTTCAGTGGGATATGTTAAATGCTTTAAAAAATTCTGAGAAGAAAAGGGTATAAAGTAGAACAGTTTGTACATTATTGGCTATGTCCAAAATATATTTACCCCTGTTAAAAATTATTGTTACAATGTATGCATTGTGCAAACCACAATATTAAATTCTAAATACCTATTTATTAATTTAGTGTGCTTCTACACCATTAATTTTTTTAAAATTAAGCTTCATGAATTGTCAATTGATAGTATTTTAAAATATTTTTCAGCTTCAGCCTGGTGAAATATCTCTCATTCATAACTTCAAGAAAATGCTTAGCCCAACATGGGTAAATATATATATTTTTTTTTAAACTTACCAATTAGCCTCATCTGTTAATCTAGACACACTAACTTTTTTTTTTTTTTCAAACCAAAAATCCATTCCAAAATTTATTTTTTTTCCTTTTTTTTCCTCTAGTGTTTCTGTATATTTGCTTATTTTGGTTAACTTCATTTTGCAGACTCATGGTGTAGCAGTGTGCACTGCTGATGTATTTGCAAACAGTGAACTTACAAGAGAAAACTACACCCCTCTTTATGTGTTGAAACAGGAGGTAGATAGATTTATGGTTTTTAATTATTTTCCACATATTTCTTACTATATACTCACTCTTAAGCAAATATTCTTATAAATATTTCGAAGGAATAAATGGGATTTTGGCCTTTGAGGGGGTCAAAGGAGATTTTAATAATTTTCCCTAAGTTTATTGATTCAATAAAAGAAAACAATGTTGAAAAAAGTAATTAACTGAAGTCAACTTAAACTTAAAGCCATATGCTGTGTGAAAAAATTGAGTCACAATTTTTGTCCTCAATTAGCAGTTTCAATGATTGGATGTGATTAGAGAGTATCAAAGTACTCATATTGAATAATGAAATATCAGAATGGCATATTTGATACGATCATAGAAGCAGTTGAAATCTATTTTGAGAATGATCAGAGTAATTCAAGCTTTGATATGGTTTGCAATCTGCATTTATGCAAACTTGTTAATATTTATAGCAGAATAGACCCATGGAAAGACAAATGGACAACATATTTCTTAGTCATCTGTTTTTGGAAATGTTCAGCATGGAAGCGAGTAGCGGTATCTGTCTTATACTTTATGTTTAATAGTTTTTAAGTCTTTTAGCTACACAATAATTATTTTAAAATGTCTCGATTTAAAAACAAAAGCTGTTTTCTTTAGATGAGATAAGATACTTTTATTGATCCAAATAAATGGAAATTTGTTGTTTTATCATTCATCATAGATATCTTTTCAGTCTTGTTGGAGCTTTTCGTTGTTCTTTAAAATTAGTCTGTAGCAAAACTTTTGTCAAATAGTTGTGGTGTATGAATAACTATTAAGTTCCTGAGCGTGCATTGTAATTTTGAACAGAGTCTTGGTTTTTGTTTGAACGGAGCTCTTGTTTTTTTCCCCAAGAACATGGACACTCATGTCTGTAGCTAATTTGTCTTTGGATGGTTGTCATATGTCAGAAAAGATAATTTGGAATGGGAAAACATGAATGGTACAACGCCAAAAGTTACCAGATAAGCGTATCAGTCTACCTAACATGTCGCAAGACACATGCTGAAGACCAGGGTCTTGTGAAGCAGATTGAAGTGGGCTCTCGCTCCTTGCGCCAAATTGTTTTTTTACTTGTCGATTTGTGTTTTTAATATTGTAAACCTTATGTCGGCTTAAGAGGGCATTAGGCACTTTTCAGGCTATTCCCTGCCAAAACTAGAGGGGTCGGCTTATGAATGAACAGGCTGTAGATTGAGTATATACAATAGTTTTTTCTGGATAGTGCTTTCTTTCTCACTGAACATTTATCCATTGAAATATTTTTTTAAAATTTAATTAAAAATGTGCATATGCTTTCCTAAAACAATTAAAAACATCCTTCATTACTAAATAAATGTAAATCTCTAGTTTTCTGGTACCTAAAAAAAAAGTAGAAATTAAACTATTTACAAATTTTGACCATTTTTATATCTTGAAAATGGTATTTTATCCTTTTGCTACTATTAAACTATATATGCCTAACTTTTCATTTTTAGGGATTTGAAGCCTTGGACCCATTTGTGCCAATCTTGGTACCTGAGTACACAGACAAGGAGGCTCTCAGCAACATTAACTATTTTATAGATCACAACTGGATACAGAATGACCATGGTATGTAAATGTGCCAACAAAATTTAATGAAGTAATGACTGCTCTGTTCTTTAGAAATTTTTTGTTTCATTCATGCTTGATTATCTTGTAATTGTTTTAGTTTGTTAAATTTACTGTCTGACATGGTGTGTGATCTTAATCTTATGCTAATCACTGATGAAAATTTATGTAGCTTCATAAAATTTCGTGATAATCCATTTACGGTATCTCTTTTTTTTTTTGAACAGGTAAAACTGATGAAGGCAAAAAAGAAATCATATTTGTCAGCAATCATAATCCTTTAAGTTTGCATAAAATTTGCTCATCCTTGTAGCTTTAATATGAATTTGAATAAATGCTGACTCCTGTTAAAACCAAAATGTTTAAAGTAACAGCTTTGTTCATAGTTTATTTAGCAGCTGTTGTAGACTAGACTAATAATAGATTTTTGTCCATAATTAGTGGGCATTTTATTTCAATTTTAAAGAATGCTGCATCGTAAATGTTGGCACTGAAAATTATTTAGGATGATCAAATGAAATTTGCTAGTTTATTTATTTTGTTCAAAGCGTTAGCTTTGGTGCCAAGAGTTTCCTTGGTCATTTCAGTGAATAAATAATGAAAATAAAGACAATATAATTTTTTTAAGGATCATGTGATATTCACAGGAAATAACTTTATTCATACTGACTAAAAAAACTCTATTACAGAGTATATAAACAATTTTAACGATGATCCTCTGAAAGAAGTTGAGGAATATTATCAAAATTTCCATCAAGAAATAAAAAATTTGTTTGAAACAAATAGAAGTTTAGTTTACATGTGCAAATATTAATAATAATTTTCTTTGGTTGTAATTTTGATTATTTTAAAAAGAACAGTGATTAACAAATTATTTTTCATGTCTCCATTTAAAATTAAACTGGCAAATATGAGGAAAGCAAATAAAAATACGACATTTGAAGTACAGTAGTTACAATATCGAGGATGTCTTGATACAGTTATGTCCAATTAACAAAAAGTGTAATTGCATTTTATTCAAAAATGGATTTTATTAGACTTTTCATAGAAATAAATGGGGGAATAAATTGTTCAAAGATTTCTCTTAAAAAGTGGAATTAAAAAAGTATTTTTCAAAGTGATAACAAATAATATACACTTAAAGTAGAATGAAAAAAATGTAATAAGGTATCGGGAAGAGGGAGGGACGCAACAATACACCAGAATATGGTATACAGGTTAGTCAGGAGTAGAAACGTAGATGTTAATATTTTAATTAGCATCCTTGTGATGATAATCTGTTTATTCACATTTCCTTTTAATGAAAATGTGACTTGCTGTTCATTTGTTTTTTCTATCTGGGGCTACCAAGGATTAAAACATTTGGGATGATGAAATTCCCACAAAAAGTTTCTATTTACAAGTCTTCTGAATTTAACAGTCTTAGCTATATTATATTACACTAGCTTTTACAAAGGGGGGATGGTTGTTTTCAAATTAACAGGAAGAAAACCATTGATAGTACCTTTAATTTTAATTTCTAGCCCAAAACTGCTCATTAGTTCAGTGGCAGCATTCATTAAAATGTTTAATTCAGTAGAAATATGTGGACCATACAGTGAGAGAATAATCAATGTCCTTTATTTTCTCAATTCTGCAAAGCAGCTAATGGTTGAAAACCATGTAGGGCACTTTACTTTATTTAAGAAAAAGAACTTTTTAAATTCCCACAACCATGTAAGTCGTATCAGAATTATTTCAAACAAATGTCCCTCTTTTTTTTATGAATGTAAAAAACAAGTAAGAGAATTTATAAAAATTATCAACAAAAAAATTATAAATTTACAAAAATTTTGCGCTAAAATAGCATAATATATGACAATAATTGATCTTAAGCCACTTAAGGATCCTCTTGAGTAAACATCTCATGAATGAACTAGTTCTCTCTATACTATTAGGTTGCAATAGCAAAGTTACTCTTGTGGAACATCAAAAAAATTGGTTTAACTTGTATGAAATATAGTTCTTGGTTAACTATATTAGGTTGCAATAACAAAGTTATTTTGTGGAACATCAAACTTTGCAAAAAAATTAGTTTAACTTGTCTACATAGCCCATTTGTTCTGTGGTGACAAGTAAAATAATAATTGTTCTATATAGAGAACAAAATTTAAAGTGATATATGGATAAGAAGTTAAAAAGTCTTAAAATGAGTTGATTAAATAAAATATGAAGAAAATGTAAAGGGGTAGGATCTTTAAATAAAGGAATGAAGCTTTCCTATATTAAAAAAATTGCAAATATCTATTTGAAGACCTGTATTGTTTGTCAAACATGAATGAAATGCCAGTTTAAAAAATTATCTCTAAAAAAATATATAATTGAAGCGTAAATGCGATTCTGGATACTCAACAGGTAAATTAATTAATTAATTCATACGTAAAGCAGAAGATGCTGTTAAAAAAATCATTTATTTTTTTTTAAATTATAACAATTTTTTTTTTTTTTTTAAATTATAATGACTTCAAATTGCTTTCAAGTTTCATAAATAATAGGTTTGTAAAAAACATTATTGAACAGTGCAGGGGTTTCTTAACCATTTTACAGCACTGCACCCCTCTCGATTTTAAAACATTTCCAGCCACCACTCGATAGCATGTAGTGAAAATAAAGTCAGTTTTCCTGCCTTAATGACCTTGCTAAAAACAATATATTCATCAATACAAAAGTCACCGTAAACAACTGCTGCCAATAAAAATGCAAAGAAACCTGATCTTCTGGGTCTTCCCGCACGCTGCACGTGGTTTAGAAACCCTGAGATAAAGAATTTACAGATCCTACCTTCATTGGTTTCAGTGGTGTCACAAGATTTTGAAATAAAAGGGTGGGGGGGGGGGGGGAATTTGTGTGGGTTTGTAGTGTGCTTGAGTTAGGGGGCAAATTTTTTTGAACAAGACAAGCTTTTTCACTTATAAAATTTATGGAAGTTAAAGTTAACATCGAACACTTGCTGACGTGTACATTATCAACATATACTTTGAACACCTTTATTTTATTTTTTTTAATCGGATAAAATAAAGGTAAAAACATTTTGTCAGTAAAGTTTAAATTTATCAACAACTTTACTATGAGATAACTCATTTTTTAATTGACATGAAAGTGTATCATATTTAAAGTGTATCATGCAATTTTATGATTAACAAAACAAAAATATTAAACTGCAAGTGTTACTCGGTTTATATAGAATTTTTATATCTTTAGAGTTCCATAAAGTTTCATCATTTTTCAACTGTTTCTTGACTATTCAAAAGATGGTCTAAAAAATTATGTCACATCTAAATTAAGTATACCAGTATTTTGAACAGAAAAAAAGAAAAACCAACTTATGTTCTCCCAACTAATACTTAGTACTAGACTACCGGTATATATTTCAATTGGTGAATAGAAAGATTCTAAAAAAATAATTAATAGTTAAGCTTCAAATAAAATTATATTAGCCATTTTGAATTTACTATACACTATACTGGGTAACAACTAATATAACAAATAATAATATACTAAACAAGATGTCATTAAACTGTAAATAGGCGGGTAAGACTGACCCACTAATTTGTAGTGCTCTTCATATCAAACAGACAATATTTTATTGTTTGTTTTTATTCAATACTAATACTAGCGAGTACCCGGCATGCGTTGCAATGCCACTCAAAGAAAGAAAGTGTTTGCATGTTAATTATGTTTCTTCAAGAGCTTTTAAATACTCAAAGTTTTTCTTGTTTTTCCATCTTGTATATACACGAATAAATCAGAAGATTTTCCGACGCGAGAGCAGGCCACATACATTTGTCCATGGGCGAAGCATGGGTTTTCAAAATTTAGTCCGCAAACTTGTAGCGATTGTCCCTGTGCTTTGTAGATAGTCATTGTAGACGCGTGTCGCATCGGAAACTGTAGGCGTTTGAATTCAAATGGCATATCTGTTGGAATCATTGGGGTGAATGGCAAAAGTACATCACCTAGTTTAAATTTTCCATTTAAAATAGTAACTTAAATGGAACCAATTTCGGAAGATTCATTTGAAAAAATGTACCGTACCTAATGCTTCGATATCAAAGTGCGTTTCTCGTTGCAAATCAAGAGCGAAAAGTTTGTTTGCAGATCGATTCCGAGAGGTCATTCCCAACTCATGAATCATCAATCGATATGAATAGTATTTCATGGCACTGACTTTCTTATTCGAATTTCTCAATTTGATGTCAAAATGATATCCATCTTCTCCTTGCCAAAATAAAATAGGATATTGCAATCAATCGTATGAGCGATGAGTTTCTGAGATTCGCTGAACATCCCCACTTCTGTGATGAAGAATTATATCACGTGAGTTAAATTCTTTGCCAACTATAATGATCGCCACTTCATCAATTGTTGGTGCATTGTATTATTGTCTTTCATGTTGGCCGACAGGTGTTTAGTCTGCTCTAACTACCGGTATGACTTTGTATTCATCAGTCGGCATCTCTATACATTTAAATTAATTCGTTGTGTTGCAAAAATAACGTTTGCATTGCAGCGACGGTTTCTCGTTTAATTTACAATATTCCTAACGGTCATAATTTTCACACGTTAGGATCTCCCATCTTTTTACATGAAAACTTCGCGCAATAGGTACGTTCATTGTTGGCAGGAGATTTCCAGTTGTATAGTTTCTCATTAATTTATAAATCGTAAATTCCAGCGGTAAAAAATGACCATAGTTCAATACCTACGTTGTCAAGTGTGTTATTTAATTACTTGAGAAACCATCGATTCATGTAAAATGTATTTACATAACACAAAACAACTCTATTCAAGAAATACTCTTAGTTGAAAAAAAAAACGCGATTTTGATTTCATTTCCGATTCTAAAATACGTCACAAAATTCAAGCTTATTTATACAAATAACAAAAACACTCTCTACACTAAAAATGCAAAAACGTGTTTCCTCTGCTTTACTACAAATGTGTAATTTGTTCAAGGTCGGTAGTGTTGATATCTCCGTTATAAATTATATTGATGAAGCTCATTTAAGAAAATAAATTGAATTTAGGCTCCCCAGCCCTAATTGGAATATTGTAAAATGGATGTACTAAATTTGAAAAATTTGCCGGCGGATTCAACTACTTCCACACATGCAATAGCTCTGTTTGAAATTATAGTTATAAAGCTCTTAGAAGAAAATATGAAATTAGGGTCACTGACCCAAACGGAATATTGTAAAGTGTTTTTTCTAATTTAGAAACATTTTCGGTAGTGCGCATTTCACTTGACCCATTTTTATCACAATCGAATGAATGGTATAGAAATGCATACGATAATTATATAGATAATAGAAGTGTGGAAAACGAATTTAGGGCCCCCCGCCACAAATGGAATATTGTAGAATTGTTGTATTACTTCAGAAACCTACTTAATATGTCACACACTCAATTTAATATCACTATTTGTATTTGATTAAAAAGCTATCCATCCATGCATTAGCTCTGTTTGAAATTATAGTTGTATAGCTTATATAGAAAAAACGAACATAGGACCCCTGGCTAAAAAAAACGGAGTATTTTAAAATGGTTGTAATCATTTAAGAAACCTTTGCGGGCGTGCGCACAACATCTCTCTAAAATTGTATCGCATTCTAATAATGTAGAGGAGCGCATACGGAAATTATTTTTTTATAAAGCTCCTAATGTAAGGAAAAAAACACGAATTTGGGGCCAATTGCCAAAAAAAAAACGGAATAATTTTGAAGGGTTATAATGGCTTAGAAAAATGCTCTGGCTTATGGACAACAACTCACCTCAGTTTTATCGCAAGCGCTTGAATGGTGTAGGAGCGCATACGGTTTGAAATTATATTTATATAGCTAATTTTTAAAGAAACAAACATAGGGCCCCTGGCTCAACACTGAATATTTTAAAACGGTTGTAGTAATTTAAGAACCCTTGTGGGCGATAGAACAACATCTCACTAAATTTTTATCGCATTCTGAAAAATGGTATAGGAGCACATAGAAAATTATTTTTTACAAAGCTCATATAAGAAAAAATATGAATTTGGGTCAACGGCCGAAAACGGAATATTTTAAAAGTGTTGTAATGAATGAGTAAAATGGGTATGTTTATAGATAACAACTCATCAAAGTTTTATCGGAATCGGATAAATGGCGTAGGAGCGAATTTGAAAATTATTTTTTACAAAGCTCATATAAGAAAAAATACGAATTAAGGGCCAACGGCCGAAAACAGAATATTTTTAAAAGTGTTTAAATAACACAGTAAAATGCACTGGCGCATGGACAACAACTCACTAAGTTTTGTAGCAATCGCATGATTGGTGTAGGAGCGCATACGGTTTGAAAATATATTTATATAGCTCATATAAGGAAAAACGAATATAGGGCCCCCTGGCTCAAAACTGAATATTTTAAAACGGTTGTAATAATTTAGAAACCTTTATGGACATGCTCGCAACATCTCACCAAAGTTTTGTCGGAATCGGATAAATGGCGTAGGAGCGCATGTAAAAAATATTTTTTACAAAGCTCACAGAAGAAAAAAAACTAATTAAGGGCCAACGGCTAGGAACGGAACACTTTATAAGGTTTTTAATGACTCAGTTAAATGGCCATTTATTTGGACAACAACTGACCAAAGTTTTGTCGCAATCGCATGAATGGTGTAGGAGCGCTGTTACGCACTGACTTGTATTGGGAGAAATTAATCTCCTATTTTAATTTTAATTGGCTCGTTGTAAACAGTGCCTAACAAAGGACGATACCATATAATCAACAATATTAAAGATACGACCCAAAACAGTTTCTAGTTACAATTAATTAAGATTTATTAAGTCTTAAGATAATTACAAAATAAAATAAAATAAAATTACAATCTTCAACTTACAGTATGGCAGATCTCGTACCGGTACACAGTTAATACAATTAGAAATAATGATGCCAATAAATAATGCGAAATAAACACATATAAGTAGGAGCACACAAATACACAAAGAATAAAACACGCCTCGTAATTGTTAAGAGAATCTATCTCAAAAAATCTCCTTGGAGTAAGATGCTTCGAGAAGGGCTTATGACGTGTTGTTTACATATCTCGGGTTAAGGAGTATATTCCAGAAATTACCCGAAAACAATCTACCCAATGCGTAATTGGAAGCCGATTGTAAACAAGCCACTTCAAAGACCTAAGCCACACCCCTTTGTGAACACAGCGTCTCATGCGGGGTCAATCAGAGGGCACACACGAGAAATATTATGTAAACAAGCTCTCTATAACAAGCGCATACGAGACATACAGACATTCATTTTTATATATATAGATGTTTCAAATGATTACAGAGGCCTGACATCCTAGTTATTATACGCATCAACATCACATCAGCATCTTCACATGATAAGAGACATCAACCTCATGACCTTCGATAAAATGTCATTAACTTGAGTATTTAAATTTGTATAATACATTTTTAAAATTACAGTAAATATCATAGAGGGAAATAAGAGAACAGATACAGTTGCAAAACCAGAAGCATCAACAAACAGCCAAATATATAAACATAGCAAATGCAAAAAAATTTTAATGTTAAGAGAAATAAATAATAATGAAAAATTAAAAAGGATGAGCACACGCCAGGCCCATACTTCATAGATCCCATAAATAGCCACCAAAGGAATAACAGATATAAAATTTTATCGGCATCATTCATCTAAATTCACACTTCAGTTGTTTAAAACTGCAAACCCACCACCCACCCCCCCCCCCCCCCCCCCTCCCCAAAGTATCTTACACCTCTCGTACTGCCATGCATAACAGGACCTATGCCTAAACTAACTTTCCATATCTACAAGGTTATAAAAACACCCTCTATACAGACATAGAGTAACTGAACTAGATTTGCAGATTTTTCACAATGGCCTCAGGTTGAAGAACACATGCCCTGATGGCCACTGGACCAATATTATGATTATAAATTATAAACAGAACATGAAAAGAATTAAACTGAAATATTGTAGAACAACATGAAATCACTTTGTTCTCATTAATGCAAAACATGAGTTATCTTTCGATGAGTGCAAAGACCTCATAAATATTATAGAAATTTTAATTTGAACAAGTTTAAACCATAATTAAGTTGTAACATTCATACAATGAACATGAATTTAGTTGTAATAAAATAATTATGCGAGTTTTTAAAAAAAAAAAAACTACCAGCTAAAAAGTTTTATTGGCAGGCAATATTGAAAACAATCACTTAAACTTTGGGAATGCATATAAATGTTACATTTAAATAACTTATGTTGGCAGTTAACAAGTAAAATAATTGAACCCAGTTTCTGCTAAAAATGTGATGGTACCTCCACCTGAGCATAGGCCTTCATTTAGAATGACAATGCACTAATACATTTTTTTTTTAAATACATAATTTCATTCCAACACAAAAAGGTTAATAATTTTAATGAAAACTTCATAAATTAAGACACATCCAACATTAAAAAATAACTTTTTTCAAAAATGATTGTAAATTTGGAAACTAATGCAATAAAAATTTAATTATTGGGTAAATTAAATATTATTTTAGCAATACTGTCTACAATTTTTACTAATTCATATTCAGACACATTCAACATTTTAAACAATTGATAGTTTCAAAAGTGATTGCATCTATGACAACTAGGCCACAAAAATTTAATTATCGAGTAAATGCATATTATTATCTCGGTAATACTGTATTTTAAAAAATTAATACCCACAATTTTTACTCATTTAAATGCGTTTAGAAGAACACTGAAAATAACTTTGAATTAACAGATTTTTTTAAGTTTGAGTGGTAACTAGGTAGATGTATGTTGACAGTTCAACAGGTTCATAAGCTATAAGCAAACCTATGAAATGAAAGCTTTACAAAATTTGGTTAAGTTGCAGTGATGCCCACTGCCATGTAAAGAATCTGGTATAGAAAATCTCACTTGAATTATCAGGAGTTCCAAGGAGTGGCAGAAATGAAGAAACGCATCAGACTTTGGCACCTCCAGACAAATTTTTAGGTTACTTTATTAATTTATGGATTCTGTGTCCTCTTTAAAAAAAAAAACAAGGGCTACCACCACCCTGCCCTGTGTCAGACAATTGCCATAACATCTAAAAAATAAATAAATACTGCTAATTTTGCTAAACAGCAGTTAGCTTCCCATCTCTTTTTATTTTTAGACAAATTATTTCTGACAAATAAACTTCCCCATCTACCTATTTGTTCTTGTTCATATCTCTTTTTCCACATTGCTGTAGTACATTATGTGGATTTCAAAATCAGTTTAAGCTGGATAGAAGTTTATGTTAAAATTGGATAAATGTGGGGATGGAAGGGAGGGGTATTAAAAAGGAGTTCAATTAACTCACCAAACTCATGGTGTCTATCGAGTTGTTTTTAATTTACCTGAAGTTAAAGCATGACATTATAGAACACATAACAATGAGATAACACTTAGTATCCTCATTCCTAATTAAGTTGTGCTTCACATAAGTAAATTGCATTATCTGTATACAAATAATGTGTTATTTAGAACTAGATTTAAAATATGCTGAATGGACATTAACAAATAGGAAGGAATCAATCAAAAGAGGATTAGAGTATAAACAAAAATTATAATAATAATAATAATTTTGTGGATATCTTTTAGGGATGATTAAGTTTTAGTATAATACATATTTAAAAAATTTACATAAATTCCCACATTTTGAAGCCTTGTTTTTTTTTAAAATATAATTTGAAGGCTTGGTTTAGTATAACCATTTCTAGACTAATGACTGCATAAAGTGATTTTAAAATATGAATCTTATTAAGGGATTTTCAATTACAGTTGAGTCATAAGGTGATAATCGACTAGCTACACTTATTTTCACTTGGTTTTAAATCAGCTGCAGATCTTTTCAAATGCATTTTAAGTTGAAGCATTCACTGTTTATCATTACCCACTATGTGATTGAAATAAAGTATTCACCAGAGAATTGTCAGCCTGCGAATTGAAGTAATACATGCTGTGATATCGAGCCCAGTGACTCATATAAAACTGTCTGAAACCCATCTTCTTCAAATCCATGTACACTCCAAACATGTTGTGGAATTCTGTTCGCATTGGTTCATTGGGAAAGATGTGCCATTCTAGTGTTAGCTGCCTCACAGAAGACAGGGTCTTATTTTTCAAAAGGGTCTCCATGATAGCCCACTCATAGCTCTCTACATCCATTTTTAGTATGTCAATCGCCCTCTATTTTTTTAAAGAAAAAATAATTAAACTGCAATCAATAACTAAAAAGTGATACCATTTTTTTCTATTAACTGTAAGAAAATCACATGCATCATTTTAGATTATTGTATACTGACTAACGTGATTTTTAAATTTTTTAAAAACTCCAATCAATCATTTGTTCTCCCTAAATTGGAGTAGTGTGTATGACAATTTTAAAATATATATTAGAAGCGGTGTTATAATATAAGTTTAGGAACAAAATATAGCTATATAGGGACATATTTAGATGTGCTTTTTTTCACTTTTGTTTCACACAAGTTTCAGTAATAACTAAACATCTTATCTTATATTTTCTTCATAGTATTCCAAGATTAAATTTGATCTAAATCAGGCTGAAATGATGGCCTGTAATTTTATTGCAATATAATACAGAAATATAGCTCACCAAAAGATATTTAAATTTAATTCAAAAAATAAATTCACAAATAAAATTTATTGTCAAGAAAAATGATAATAAAAATTTTGAAATTATAAAAAAATATATGTTAATTTCCTAGAATAAATTTACAATTAAAAAATTTAAACTCCTTCACTAACCTTTTCATGTCCCAACATTTTCTTGATAGATGTCAATGTTCTGATTTTCCATGTCTTTTTAGAGTTCACAGTGTAACCATCCATCAATGGCATGAAGTTGTCACTATCTAATGTAGCCAGACCCATATTAAAAAAATGAACCCTTTCTGAACGTTGGTGATCTGCAATGCCCATGCTGTAGGCAGAAACAATTAAAAATGATACAGGAATTTAACCACCCTAAACTTTGGTTAACAAGGAAAGAGAGTTAAAAAAAAAAAAGTGGTTTATTTGATTTTTGATTTATCCACTTTTCACACAAAATTTATTGAGCTCTAAATAATTTACCTGGGATCAAAAGAATAAACTTCACAACCTAGTTGGGCCATTCCATCATCAAACCGAAAGTCATTGTCTATTCTATAAATGAGAAATAGAGTTTAAGTTAAAGACAACAAGTAGACAAGAAATTTAATTGGTAAAAATAAAGTGGATTTTCATGAATAAGTAGAATTTAAACCATACTATGTTTATAAAACAAACTACAGTGAATGTTGTACTGCTTCTGTTAAGTTTGATTTAATTGTCCTGAATGTGACCACTGGGAGAAAGAGTCATGAGTGTTAAAAGTGAGTAAAACTCTTCACCCTTCTAAAAATTAAAAGCATGAAAAATAGAAACATTACGTTTTTTATGCCTACTTTCAGCATGTTTGTTGTTTTCTCTTCCCTGTGTCAATATGATTTATATTAATTTTATATTTTAAAATTGAAAAGAAACAGCTCTTTAAATGATGATTGTGCCAGAAAACTTCATTATTGGAAATGATCCAAGAGTTGAAATATGCTTTAAATATGGGTATTGAATAAAAAAAAATTTGAAGGAATTAAATTTTAAACTTAATAACATACCCAAAAGAATAAACTAGGCATGGTGGTTTAGGTTTGTAAGCTTCATCAAAGCAAATATGGTAATTTCCTACAAGTTTGATGTCCTCACAGTTATATTCATTGCCTTTATCCCATTCTCTGAAAAAGAGAAAAGCATGAAAGTCTGGAATTCATATTTCAAAAGACATTTAGATAATCGAAGATAGGAGACATAAAAAAATGTTAAAATTTAAATTATTTTTATTGATGATTTTAAGTAAGTAATTAATTACCAAGCATAGTAAGAAAAGGGACCATTATCAAGTGAATAACAAGTAATTCTCAAATAAAATACTATATTAATAACTAGATCTTTGCCTCATCTTCATGCTTTGAAAGCGTGGAAAATGTATATGTTAGAAAAACAATTCAGTTCAAAAATATTTTTTTTAATAACGTGCATAAAAACCAAATACTTCATTTAGTCACAAACAATGATTTTTTTTTAAAATTCTTCAATTTCTTTAACCCTTTCGCTACTGCGAGCCAGTTTTTGCGGCTTGCAAGACATTCATTTAGGACTACGAGCCAGTTCTTGCAGCTCACCCACAATTTTAAATGATTAATAAACTTTCGCTTTTATTTTCCGACTTTTGGTTTATTCATTTCAAACAAAAATTTTCTCTTGAAAGCACATTTTATTGCTTAAATTCTTTTTTTTTTTTTTTTTTTTTTTTTTTTTGTTCTTAATTTTTTTTTTGGAAAAAAATTTTTTTTTTTTTTTTTTTTTTTTTTTTTTTTTTTTTTTTTTTTTTTTTTTTAAATCCCATTTTTTTTCTTAAATTTTTTTTTTTTTTTTTTTTTTTTTTTTTTTGAGTCCTAAATTTTTATTGGGACAAAAAATGGAAGCAGGTAATGGAGGACAACGTCCACCAAAGCGTCATTGTGCTGAAAAGGCACGAAATTTATTAGAAAATTCATTTTTTTTTCCATTTTTCATAAAACTTGGCAGTTGTATTAAATAAACTTTTTAAAGTGTGAAAATTTCATTTTAATTTGATTACCAGTTCCTGAATTATTATGATGTAAGTAGGCTATTTTGTTTCTTTTTAGATGTTGTCAGCTACATTTATATTCACTTTAACCTCAAATACATCACATCAACTATAGTATAATTTACTTTTGTAAAACATGGTATTACAGGCATTTTGTTCTAGTTTAATTTGATATATACTATATGCACATTAAAAAGACCAAAAAAAATACATAGGATTAATCCTAAGAGTAAGAGGGTTAGGTTTTATTGTTTATGTATATATATATATAAATAGGTATACATGTATAATTTTTTAACATAACATTTCTATTTGCTGTGCAATGTTAATAAAATTTGGCAGTTGTATTAGAAAGTAATGTCTCAAGCGACAATAAAATTTCACTTCAATAGAATTAGTAGTTTTTGAGTTTGTATGATGTAAGTAGGCTATTTGTTTCTTTTTTGCTGTTGCAGGATATATCAATATTCACTTTGACCTTGAATACATCACATCAAACATTGCATACTGTATTTATCAGCGCATAACACGCACTGTTTTCTCCCTGAAAATAGGGGGCAAATGATGTGTTCGTATTGTAGGCCGATATAATGTTAAGGACCCATAGTACATCCTGCATAGTGGCGCGAGTTGTGCGTGTTATACGCCTGTGCATGTTATACGCCGATTAATAGGGTATTTTAATTTTCTAAAGCATATTATTAATCCAACAGTCAACATTATGATATGATTATTAAAAAACATTAACATTTGATTCACTGCAATTTCAAATAATAAGTACACAAAATCTTTTATACATCAAATTGTTAATCAAACTTTGTATTTAAATAATATAAGTTATTTTGAATGAATCAAAAACTAGTTGAACAGTGGACTTGAGTGATCCCAATATGTGACCAAATGTTCTCTTTGGGTACAAAACATTGTTTTGGTCCGTACAGTTTGATTGCAATCACTGTGTGTGCCCTAGGTTCATGGGCGCCTGCAATATGGGGGTCAAGGCGGGTCACATTTTTTCTGTATGCCTGTCTTGATCAGTTTTCTCCATGGCTTGTATATTTTCGTTTGTTTCCCGCAACCCATTCATCATGGGTACCAAGTGGCATTTATAGCAACACTTTTCACTAAGTACAACGACTTCCCTCAAGGTGCTGATAATCATGTGGAAAGTAAGTGGAACAAAGGTGCTTAGCAAGATACAACAGCATCATTAGGAATCCAGACCAATATTTCAGAAAATCGATACCAGCTTTTGCAGATATCCACATTAATTTTATGCCGAACGCATGACATGACACTTCATGGCAAAAATAGTGATCTGTTTCAGTTTAGAGTGGAGGCTGGCAACAAGGACTTTAAGACACATTGCAGACATCCAGGTGGTAATGCTCGTTATGTTTCTCACAGATCTACAGTCAACTGATAGAGATATGTTAAAACGTCATATAGGTATGTGAGGAAGTAATGAAGTAACAAATTATTACATCAATAAACAATTCTATAGGATTTTCAATATTAGTCGATGAAACAGCTGATATATATCAGGAACAGAACAATTGTCATTGACGGCTCGTTTTGTAGACAACGTAGATAGCGCATTTAAAATTCATAAAGAACTTATCGGATTCCAGCAAAAGAAGAAATCAATTTGGTCTGGACATGACAAAATTATTTGACAAGGATACGACAGCTGTTCCACAATAGCAGGAAATGAAGGTGGTGTTCAGACTAAAATACGCAAAATTTTTCCAAAAGTATTTTTTTTTTCCTTGCTCCGTGCATCGTCTCAAACTGGTGGCTAATGATTTGCATTCAGTTGTTCAAGCTCATAATGTCAATCAAAACTATCATTAAGTTTTATCAAGAAAGCATAAAGTGAAGGTTGTTAATACCTAACGTTCCAATGTTCTGTGAAACTCGATGGTCAACAAAATATAAAAGCAATTGCATTTTCAGTGAGAATTTCAATGTGATACCAATCAATTGCACAATCTGGCAACACATGAAACAGGTCAAACATGCCAAGATGCTCACCAGCTATTGTATTCATGTTCTTCACCTCTCAACAGCTGTTGTATTCATGTTCTTCACCTCTCACCAGCTATAGTTTTCAAGTTCTTCACCTCTCACCAGCTGTAGTGTTCATATTCTTCACCTCTCACCAGCTATTGTGTTCACGTTCTTCACTTCTCACCAGTTATTATGTTCATGATCTTCACCTCAACTTTTGTGTTCATATTCTTCACCTAAATTTCTTGTATGTCTTGTGATTATCTTTGTATTATTATTATTATTGGTGATCTTATATAGCGCGGTACCCCAGCCTAGGGCTGGGCTCATTATCTCTATTTAGGTACGGTACTCAGCAATACTAGAACTAGTAACTCAATCATTACAATCCAAACAGCTGAATTTAGTAAATGTACAGAAACATATTTGTAAATTAACAGACATTTTCCATGAACATCGTAAGAGTGTTGAAACTGAGTTTAAGATTAATATTTAAGTCTTGGCTCTTGCAGCTATAGTTAAAATTGAGATGAAAGGCCCTTGCAGCTTTAGTAAACATTAAGATGAAGACATATTGCAGCAATCCTAGATTGTTGATTTTGTTCGTCCGTTGAAGATCGACTAGGATCATCGAGTCATTCGGTGGCTGATGACTTACTCGGGTGACGTTTGTTTAAAGTGAGGAAGAGTTGCATGGCATAAACCTCACTCTCTCGTCCGGGCCCACCAAGTCCAGTGGCAAGACTATGTCAAGACGACCAGGGATGGGTACGGATGCAGGAGTTGTCGGATTGTTTCATTGTATACACCTTACGGGACTCCATCTCTGGGTTTGAATTCAGAGTTTCCTTCTCTTAGATGAGTTACCGACCAAGGTTAACGAATCCCATCCACCCGGGATGCTGGTGATGTTTTAGCTTGACTGGCCTTTGGCTGTAATTGAACTCCAGGCCACTAACTTGAGGTTTCATCAGTTTAGATCATTCGGCCACCCAGTCTAGCAATCCTAGATACTCAAATGACAAGAGTGAAGATCCCCATTCTGAAGAAGACTACTTTAGACAAACAATATTTGTTCCTTACTCGGATTCTATAATTTCATCTCTGACCAACTGTTTCTCTGGAGACAACAGTTCCCATTTCCAACTATCCAGAATTCAGACTGCCAACATGACATGTCTTAATTTTGTGTTGAGTTAAAGAAGAGCATTGCTATCATTACTGGTTGGTTCTCAGTTGACAATTATAAGCTTGAAGCAATGAACTGGTTTGATTTTTGGAGCATGCAGCAACAAGATATTAAAAATGACTTGCAGTGTGGCTTATTGACTTGCTGCCAGGCACAGACTTTTTCCCCATCTATTCACCAAGCTATTCTTATTGCACTTACTTTACCTGCACAGTGGAGCATTCCCTTAGTACCCTCAGACGAGTAAAAACTAGGCTTTGTTTGACAATGACTGACGAACATCTTTCAGGGTTTTGTTTGCTTAGTGTACGGTTGAGTTAGCTTAGTGTACAGTTGTGTTAGCTTAGTGTACCGTTGTGTTAGCTTAGTGTACCATTGTGTTAGCTTAGTGTACATCATTTAAGTGTGAACAGAAATAAGGCAGAGTTTATGCAGAAAGTCATTTAAATATTTGGAAAGGATAAATTTTGACTGCAAAGATTTAAATGAAAGAATATTAAATGTGTGAGTCTATTAGTTGCATAGTTTATATTATATGCTTACTAATCTATGTTAAGAAATGAATTTTTTTTTTCCAAAATGACTGTTTTATGTTTGTAAAAAAAGTAAGCTACTATTAATACATAGGCCTACACTCTTCAGCTCTCATTTATATGTTTATATTATGAAAAAGAATGTCCAAAGTTTGTTGATCATCCCTCCGGAGAAAATTCCTGCGGGCGCCCATGCCTAAGTATATGCTATTGCATTTCTTTATATTTTACTAAACACATTTTATTTCATAGCTAGTTCTGGTTATCAAGCACACTGTACTCTCCGTCGTGCATTTTATCCCCATATTAAGAAAAAAAATTATCATCTGGTTATTGAAGACAATATTTAATAAATTGCTTAATGTGGGCTCACATAGACAAAA